TGTCTCCCCACCCACTCCCCACCCCCACCTTCCCACAGAGATCCATCAGTCTGTTCCTTCCATGCTTCTATGTCTCTGGATCTATTTTGTTCCTCAGCCTATTTTGTTTATTAGATTCCACATATGAGTGAGATCATGTAAAACTGAATCAGGAAGGATCAGAAAATCTGATTAGGCTAACAACAACTGATGAAATTGAAACAGTAATAAAAAAAAAAAATTCCCAACAAACAAAAGCCCTGGTTGGGACAGCTGCACAGGGGAGCTTTCTAACTCTTTAAGTTGTAGGGTTAGATAGTTTACTAAAAAATTTTCTTGCTTTTTGAGGTAGGCCTGTAGTGCTATGAACTTCCCTCTTAGGGCTGCTTTTGCTGTGTCCCATAGATTTTAGGCGGTTGTGTGTTCATTTTCATTTGTTTCCAGGAAATTTTTGATTTCTTTCTTATCTTATTGGTAACCCATTCATTGTTTAAAAACATGCTATTTAGCCTCCATGTGTTTGAATGTTTTTGAGTGTTCTTACTGTAGTTGATTTCTAATTTCATGCCATTGTGATATGAGATGCTTGATATGATTTCAACCTTCTTGAATTTGTAGAGACTTGTTTTGTGTCCTAACATGTGGTCTATCTTTGTAGGTAACAGATTGCTTTTCTCTTCCTGCCTTTAATATTCAGTCTTGAATTTTTGGCACTTTAATTATGATGTGTATGGGTGTGGGCCTCTTTGGATTCTTCTTGCTTGGGACTCTCTGTGCCTCCTGAGCTTGAGTGACTTTTTCCTTCACTAAGTTAGGGAAGTTTTCTACCATTATTTCTTCAAACAGATTCTCTAACTCTTGCTTACTTTCGACCACTTTTGGCACTCCTATGATGCAAATATTGTTACATTTCATGTTGTCCCACAGCTCCCTTAGACTGCCCTCCTGGTTTTTACTTGTTTTTTCTTTTTGGATCTCTGAGTGTTTTTTTTCTACCTTGTCTTCTAATTTGCCGATCCAATCCTCAGCTTCCTCTAATCTGCTGTTTAGTCCTTCCACTCTATTCTTTATTTCTGCTATGTTATTTTTAATTTCCATCACAGTTTCCATATCTTTTTTTATGCTGTAGAGCATCCTTATAATCAGTATTCTGAACTCTGTATCTGATAGATTGCTTATCTCCATTTCATTTAGCTCTTTTTCTGGAGACTTCTCTTGTCCTTTCGTTTGGGCTTGTTTTGTTTTTTTTTTGTTTCCCCATTTTGGCTGCCTGTTTGGGTTTGTTTCTATGTATTAGGTAGATTTGCTAGGATTCTCAGTCTTTTTGGAGGGTCTCCGGTGCAGGCCAATGTCAGACGCAGTTTGTGACTGGCCCTGAGTACCCTGTTTGGAGCTATCAACAACCGTCCACTTGAGGTCTCCCCTCCTGGGGCTGGGTGCATTTGGACAGGACCAAGATGCACACCAAAGTCTGCTTTTCCAAGGCCCGGGTCCAGAATCAGATCAGGCAAAGACTCAAAGCACTCTGAGTTCTGCCTCTGCCTGCAGACTAATTAATCTGATTCTCTTAATGAGCCTCAGTCTGTAGAAACTCCACAGGGTGGGGCTGCTGATTGTTATCAGTCTCTTAATAAACCTCATGCTGTAGAAGCTCCTCTGGGTAGTGAAGAGGTTTTCTAGCAGGGTAGGGCAATTGCTTCCCCCCCGACTCCCCCTCAGCAAAAGCTGCTTGGAAGGTAAATGTCCACCTGAGAAAAATGTCCTCTGCAGTATAGGGGAATGACTCGGCACAGGAATCCAGAGGGGTGCCTTCTGATCTCTATCTCCAGAACCCACAACCCTAGATTCTCTTCACACAGCTCCAGTCCACTCTGGCCTCCCTCAGCTGGAGCCCAAGGTAAGTGGCTGCACACAAAACTTTGTGCGTTGGCTCTTTAAAAGGGTGGCTGCATTTCCAGCCATCTCTCCCTGGCCAACAGAAACCCAGCTGCTTTTCACAGCCAGATGTTATATGGGCACCTTTCTGAGTTCTGGTGCTCTTAGCTGGGAAGCCCAGCCTGGGGTTTAGGTCCCAGAGTTCTCAGTGGGAAACCCCCACAGCTGAGCTGTCCCTCCAGACCTTCAGCTGCTGCCTGTGGGAGCCTGGCCAGCTCTCTCATGCCTCCGTACTTCCTACCAGTTTCTATGCAGTCTCCACTTTTCCTCCTTGGTTATGAGGGTGCTCTCCAGCTCGTCTTCAGTTGCAGTTGATTCTGGATGATTTTCCTATATTTTAGTTGTAATTCCAGTTTGGTCCCAGGAGAGTGTCAGTGTAGCTTCCACTCAGTCTGCCACCACCTTTAATCTCCCATTGGTTGATTTTTGTATGTGCCCTGACCAGTGATTGAACTTGCAACCTTGGCTATGCTCTAACCCAACTTAGTTACCCAGCCAGGGCCTTTTTTTTTTTTTTTTTTT